AACAACTTCCTTTGCTAATATCACAACAGGAATTGCATTATATCAAAAGGAAAAAAAAAACAAAGATTGATCATAATTTTTAACACTCTAGTCTTGTTATTATTCCGCCCTGTTCTAGAAAATTAGTTACCACAGCGAGCTTTGATTTTGTTTCCTAAGTGTAGATGACGTTACCATTTTTTACTTGTTGAGTACCTACACTTTCTTAACAAGTTTTAATATATAAGAGCAGATTTAATTGGAGACTATTTCTTGCTGATGAGTCCTCATAAGGACAAAACCGGTCCAATTATGACGTTCTTATTATAATGCAAAATCAAAGTTAGAGCCTTGAAAATTATTTACTCTCTACTCTTTTCCTTTTGATATAATTCAATGCCTGTTTCGGTAATAGCTAAGTAGTTGTTATTAGTAGGAAAACAGTTGAAAACTTTGCTGTGACATGAACTTTGAGGTCGGCTTTGCCTTTATTTTTCAGATAATTTTTGATTGGCCCTCAGCGTCGAATGTATTTAACCACTAGATCAACTGATATGTTGATATTTTTTTAATTTTTGTTAACTAGTGCTGCTTTTGAAAAGTAACTTGTTTTGCTATTTTTACTCGATACCGTTCTCTTAATACATCCAAGCTCTGTTTGCTTTATTGATATGGTTTGCTTGATGTCACGTGCAAAAAAAATATACTCGTTCTGCTAGAGGAGGTACATTTCCAACGTAGCAAATAACGCCTCTCAGGATTATAGTTATATAGAAAACATTTTTTAGTGTTGGTGGAAAAAGTGGTTAATTTTTAAAACCGTGGGTGGATAAAGAAGGAATTTTGGGATTAAGTGAGGGGAAATTTTACATTTTCGTTTCGGCAACACTGTTGGAACGTCACATTTGGTTCATTAATATGATTTTATTTTATGGGCTTTTATAATAATATCAACAAGAAGTAAAACGACTTTCTTGGATATAACAGGAATGTCAGATCTGGTTTGTAAAAAAGACATCATTTTTGGAAACTTCCAATAACGTTGAATAACGTAAAAAGGTAGCGCTGTAATATCACCGCAACGTCTACATTCTTTCATCACAAAAGTAAACGTTCCTACTCTGGGCTTAGACGATTATGAGTCCGTCCTACAGATGAAAACAAGAGTAAAAATGAGAGTTACAATGTAACAATGTGATGTAAAGGTTTTATTAATTTAACGTTTTTATGCATAGTGGGTAGTAGTAGTACTACTGAAAAATCTGCAAAACATGTAAAATATTTAGGTGATAGATAGCAATTTAAAATGGGATAAGCATGTAGATAATATAATGAAAATTTTGCGATGTTTACTATTTAAATTCAGATACCTAACTACAATTTTAGATCTTAATTATTTAAAGACAATATATTACACTCTGGTGGAATCCAGATTACAGTACGGAATATTGGGTTGGGTTGGAGCATACTCTTTTTACATAAAACCTCTGGATCTTCTCCATTAGAAATTCTTGAAAATTATGTATAAAAAACCAATGTCTTATTCCTCTAACCTTATCTTTATTGAATCCATGAGACTAGACTTAAGACAAATGTACATATACAATATAATAATATTTATAAAAACAAAAATAATTTACGGGACATTGAACATGCCTGTAACACAAGAACCAAAAGTAAAGCAAATGTACAAACGATTAGATCAAAAAAATCCTTTAGCCAAAGGTGTCACTTTTATCTTTCCGCCAAAGTGTATAATTGGTTACCTAAAACCAATAAAACCTACATAAAAGTTATTAACTCGCTGAATTTTATTAAAAATATTTTTAAAAATATTTTTAAAAATATTTTTAAAAATATTTTTAAAAAATGTATACGTAATACGGATCGATATATAGTTTATGCAATTATTGACTAGGCTTTCCTTTTTTCTTTATTTTTTTTTTACATATAATAATTAATCTTGTACGAAATATTTAGGTAACTCTGTACTTTAACGAAAAAGAAATACGCTCATGCGCAACTTGTCGTTATTATGGGTTCTTTTTTTCTATTTTCGTTTATTAAGTTATAATTACCATACATTTAATTTGTAAACTGATCATGTAAACAAAATGCTTAATAAACATTATTTTTTTTTTAATTTGGTGTCATCGGCATCGACTACTAAAGTCATTAGCCTCGTGTTCTGTGTGTTACTGTTTCCCAGCGCCACTTTAGGAACAGCACTGTTAATTAGAACCCAACAGTGAGAATCCTACCAAAGCATCAGAATTAATTTTAAATAATTAAATTAAATAAGAAAATCCCGGTCAATGGTGGGATTCGAACCTGGGACCCTTGGATCCACAGGCAGAGACTCTACCACTGAGCCACCCACCCCTAAAAACATTATTATTATTACTAGAGTAAAATATTTCAAAATAGAAACAAAATAAAACGTTTTATTTTAAAATAACATTTGCGCTATCTTTTTCTAAGAAAAGTAAATTATTTTTGCTTATATTTAGCGTGCAACAGTTTTTTACTTTCCTATCTGTATACAGATATAAGGAAAGTATAGGAATCATGATTTTTTTCGACCTCGAGTTTTCGACGGATTTTTACGTTTTGAGGTCCCCTGAATCCGTTTTGACTATTTTCGCGATGATGTCTGTGTGTGTGTCTGTGTGTGTGTGTGTGTGTGTGTGTGTGTGTGTGTGTGTGTGTCTGTGTGTGTGTCTGTATAACGCATAACTCATGAACCGATACACAGAAAAACACCAAATTTTAAACTTAAGCTTTGTTTCAGCGTCCAATGAGCTGATTAGATTTTGGGCAGTGTCGGAACATCTGGGGGGGTACTTTATAGGTGGTCATTTTTATATTTTATGGAATATATCTGTTATTTACGTTTGGAGAAGAAAATTCTTCAAATAAAAGTTACTTCTAATATAATTATCTATAATTTTTGTTTTATGCAAAATTTTCCTAAAATGGTCCGTATTCGAGAAATTTGACAAAATGTAAAAAACATAATTTTTTATAAAAATTGTTCAAATAAAAGTTGTTTATAATATAATTCTCTATAATTTTTGTCCTATACATAATTTCTCTAAAATGGACCGTATTCGAGATATTTGAGAAAATGTGTAAATTTCGAATTTTGAATAAAACTCAAAAACGGATAAAGGAAAAAACATTAAATTTTAAACTTAAGGTTTATTTCGGCCTGACGTGAAATGATTAGATTTTGGACAAAGTTGGAACATCTGGGGGGGTACTTTATGGGAGGCCGTTTTTATATTTTATGGAATATATCTGTTATTTATGTTTGGAGAAGAAAATTGTTCAAATAAAAGTTACTTCTAATATTATTATCTATAATTTTTGTTTTATGTCAAAATTTCCTGAAATGGTCCGTATTCGAGAAATTTGACAAAATGTGCAAAATTCTGATTTTTATGAAAATTGTTGAACTAAAAGTTGTTTGCGATATCGATTTCTATAATTTTTGTTTATACATGATTTTTCTAAAATGGTCCGTAATGGAAAAGTGCTAAATTTAAATTTTTCTGTATTTTCGTTTTCAATGAATATCTATAGAAAAATGTTTCGAGGTAGATGTATGTGTAAAATGTATATATTTAGTTTATCCTCTAAACATTTATAGAGATGCTGCAATAGGTTGTTCAAAATAACCGGAAAATGCCTATAATAACTAGATAGGAAAGTCATGTGTTGGACACATCAGATTTTTTATTCTGATAATAATTTTATTTAAATGTCATCGATTTAATTTAAAGTAAACCTCTGAGCAAATACTACTAGAGGGAGCATGAAACGAGTTTGTAGACGATTGTTGTGTTCGCAACGTCTGCAGAGGAAGTGAGGAAGCGGACACAAGGGGGAAGGTAAACAGCTCCTCTTGTTCAGTGGCGTATCATTTCTCTGTAAGAACACACATTGTTCAAAATTTTTTAATTGTAAAAAACCAAAGAAATCGCTAATTTTACTATTTTTAAAATGTATATCGTTTTATATGTGTTTGATGTAGGAAATAAAACAAAATCACTGTAAAGGTCTCTAGTTTTTTCAATTTAAGAATTAAACCCCAAAATCAATACATCAATTGTATTATAAATAAATACAGAATTGAGCGACTAGTTTCGACCTCACAGGGACATCTTTAGGCCTATAATACAATAATCCGTAATTATTAGGTCTGTTCGGGTTCTTTAAAAATACATTGAGAACTATCAGAGGACTAGTTGACCAGTGGATAGTTTAATAGTTGTATGCGACGAATAATTTGAAATTGAATTGTTTCACTGGTTCTCGGATGGTTTGCATCGAGTTTTAAAGAAACCCGAACAAACCTATTATAATGGGAACAATATAAAAGTAGGTTGGCCACTTAAAATGAAATAGTATAAACTACAAAAAGGATCTATGTTGTAGCGTTACAGTAATGTAGAATTAAAGCGATTCATTAGAGGATTAAGTACTCTGAAAATTTAGTAGAAAACGTACATAATTCACGATACTGCCAAAAGCTCACCAAATAACTAAAATACGGTCCATATAAATAAAAAAAATTCTTAAATTACCAACATAGGTTAAATAATTTTGAAGGCGGTATGCACCCAACCGTGTCTATCCAATTTAAGAGTTCACGCAATTCATATATGATTGAACCATCGATTATAAGGTACCTACCATCGTACTGTAATCGGAACCATATACAATATTTTCAATGGTACGTGTTCCTCTTTACAAATTTGAACCTGTAATTTTTAACTTATCGTTTAAAAATAGTTCTCACAGTATTTATAAGAAATGAACATCCAAGTTTCTTTATTTTTATATTCGCTGATAATTTTATTGTAAACAAGTTTTTCAAGTACTCGTCAATGTTTTTATTGTATTTTTAAAAATAAGAATACTTTACATTTGAAACAAATTCATATATTTTGACCTTCCTTGTATACGGTACAATTTTTTTATTATTTATGAATAACAATCTTTCTTTTATTTTCCAGGCCAAATTTATGTAGATCAAGGACGAGGTCGTATTGTTGTCCAGGATGGCAAAGACATAATATCATAGGATTCTGCATAATTCGTAAGTGACCAACCATTTATATTGTTACGCTGGTTTTTGGTATCTCAACTTATTTCAACTCAACTTTTGCAATAATTTACCGGTTCCAACCGTTACACTATACAACTGATAACATTAACGTATAACGTCTATCATAAAACTGACTTCTGATATCAAAATCACCGAGTTATATAGGACGCTTTAACCTTCTGGAAACTTCCCAAAACGTCCAGATGTTTCTGGAATGACATTTCTAGATACTTCTCGAATATTCTCCCTTCTTCTTCTTCTTTTACTCCCACCTTTACTTATGACGACCACAGCACACTGTAGGACGATGAGTAACAATAATATTGAAAGCCATTCTCAACTCAACACACTATTTCGTATGAAATTTACGGGAACCACAGGATGGTCACCTTTCTTAAATGAATTGTACTTGAATTCTTAGTCTCTTCATAACTAACTGGTGAAATGTGTAGCATTTGTTAATTCCATTAGAGACTAGAATTAGGAACCTATATATTTCTTGCTGAAGAGTCCTAATAAGGACGAAACCGGTCCAAGAATGGTGTTCTCCTTAGTAAGCAAAATAAAAGGTAGAGTGTTGCAGTTTAATTTCTATCTCTACTGTCTTTTCTTTGGATATAATTCAATACCTGTTGCGGCATTAGCCAAAGGAGTAGTTATTTTCTGAAGGGAAACGGTCGCTCGTAATTACGTGATATTGGCTTTTAGTTTTATTTATATCATTTTACGTCTTGATCACATTTGAGTTTGATTTATTTTCGTTCTTTCTTAAATGATATCAAATGTTGTTTTAACGAAAACCACACAGAGTCTCTAGGATACAATGGAATATTTTTAAAAGATTTCAAAAATTTTGTCAATAATTCATCGAGAATATCGATTAAATTAATAAAAAAAAAAATTTAATTTATTTTTTTAAAAGTACAATGTATTTTTTTTAAACAGCTTTTTTAAATTTTTTATTCAAAAGTAATCGTACATATTTTCAACTCAAAAATAAATATTTTTGTAACGAAAAAACATTGAAAATACAAAAACTAAAAGTAAAATAGCCAAAAAACTTACGAGTGAATTTTAACCCCAAAAGCTGAGCTTGTGCGGGGAAAGGGACGGCTATTATTATTTGCCGAGGCGCTCCGGGGCGACTTAAAGATGATTGATGGTACCATTTGACTTACAGGTGAGGAAAACCTCACCCACCCCTCTTTGTTCTTGATCAGGTTGATTATCACTTACACCAACTTCTGAAATCTTTCTACGAAGGTCTCTTCGAATGAGAGGATTTTGTAATCTCTTCTCCTGTTGAGGTTTCACCAAACTGAGGCCCAAAATTTCTTAAAAACTTCCTTCTTGGTAATTTTAAGTCGATTTTATTGCTATTGTAAATTACCATCGCATTTATTCCCGCTGAATTCATAATTGAAAGAAAAGAGTCAACGGCTACCATCTGCTGTTCCGTGAAACGCTGTAAGTGCCTGACAGCTCGTCAACAACATCAACGCCAGACTTGGTACTGTTATAAAACAATATGTTCCGGTTTTCGTAAATCCCCTGACGCCTAATCAATTATATTATTGTGATGTAAAGTGGAGATGACAATAACATTTTTTCCTTTTTTGGGTACATATGAGACTAGACTCACATCTTTTTGAAACGCAAATTTGTAGTTCCTTTCTTCTCTAGTCTTCGTATTAAGTAGTTCAGAGGGTATTTCACGCTTATTTTTTCGCAGCGTTCCTACGGAAGTCAGGTCATAATTTTTAAGTAGTTTTGTAACCAAAGGGTAGCTAGAAAACCAATTGTCAAACGTAATAGTCCTACGAGAATTTTTAAGTGGCTCCACAAGTCGTAGAACCATGTCTTCCGGTTGTAACGTGATATCTAGTTTTTCTATCCATTTTTATAATGTGTTTGAGATCAATTCATAGGGCGTGGGTTAGGTTTTTAAATAACTCGAATAACTTTGAAAAAGAAGTTGGGCATCACTATATTTAAAGCTTATTACACTTGACTCTAGATTAGTGATAAAAATGTAGAAAATCACTAACCACTAACGAATAATACTTAAACCATGCTTTAGATAAGGTAGGTAGCAAATTATAATTCACATAAGTTTTATTAAATTCAAATTTAAGATGATTTATTGAATAAGTATTTATCTTTTGGTAAGTTAGGTAATATACGGAATGTAAAACTAGGATATCTCAAGGTATATCATCAGGCAACTTCAAATTCGGGATCTTAATCGTAATTCTGCATAATTCTGCAACGTAAATGATCTTTAGATATATGGTATTCAAACTCAACCGACTTGGGATGAAACGTCTAGTGATAAAACGTGTAAATGATCTTCAGTATTCGAACTTGAACTCGAACTGTCTAGAGATGAGATCAAAACCGTCTACGAGATAAAACGTCTAGGGATGAATCCAAAAAACGTCTAGAGATAAATCCAAATCACGTCTAGAGATGAATCAAAAAACTGTCTTCAGATTGAACCAAAACCGTCTAGATATAGCCATGCATGTGTTATTCATTATTGATATGTTTAAAACTTGACAATTTATTTAAGAAATCCTTGCATAAAATATATATATTTAATAATATATTATTATTAAAACTTACCTTATAAAATCAGACGGATTTCAAGATAGATAAAAATCATCTAATACTTCAGATGACCAAGATAAATTAAAATAAAATCTAGTTGATTGTCGCTGTCAAACAAGTCAAAAATAAATCTCACAAGACGACAAATGACATTTGAGTAAGAAGAGGTTGTTTGGAAATAACGAAATAACGATTCCAACCGTTACACGGTTTGTAACTTTGTTAAAATGGCCCTTCAGGCTGTTTACCCACATAAACCTCTAAATTGAACACGTAAAATGTTTTTGCAACCACCACTGCAAAAACTTTTAGGCCGTATTTCGCCGGCTTATTGAGTATAAATTGGCGAAACCCGCGGCATTTATTATCAAATCTCAAATCTGTTGGTTTTTCGAATTCTCTTATGAAATTAATGGAGTCATATCTGCTTAATCGATACCAGTTTGTAGAGTATAGTGGTTTGAGGTCTAATAAATATATTTCATTATCAGGTGTTCCTCAATGGTCCAATCTGGGACTCTTACTATTCCTTGTTTTTATAAACGATATATCAAGTTAACTGTTGGTACCACACTTACTTTTTTCCGACGATTTAAAAATTTATATTGAAATCAAATCCGATGAAGACTGTTTCCTACTGCAAAATGCATTGAATACAATTTATAACTGGTGCCTTGATAATTATCTACAGCTGAACTTAACTAAATGCAAAGTAATCTCATTTCATAGAAAACAAAATCTCATAATTTTTAATTACTCTCTTAACAATACCACTTTGGGTAGATGTGTAACATTCAATGATTTAGGAATAGTCTTTGATAGCGAACTTAAATTTAATAATCATATTGCAGAAAATGTTTCTTCTGCATACAGGCTTCTGGGATATTTTATAAGAAACTGGGGTAGCTTTTCAGATGTAAATACACTACGACTTTTATATATCACATTTATCAGAACTAAGATCGAATATGCGTCATTGATATGGTATCCTATATATTAGAATGCAATTAGCTATGTAGAATCTGTACAACGTAAATGCCTAAAGTACATGTATTTTAAGTGCAGTGGCTTCTATCCTCCTAGGGGTTTTGATCATACAGCTATATTACAAACATTCAATTTGGAACCCCTAGCGGAGAGAAGAAACTGCACGGCTTTAACGTTTTTATACATGTTATTAAACAACAAAATAGTTTGTAGCTGTTTGTTAAACCAACTAAAGCTCTTGGTACCTCGAACTGACACAAGACACTCTCGCATATTTCATTGCGCTATACCAAAAACCAATGTGCTAATTAAATCACCAATTTACAATATGAGCCAATTATTTAATGGTATTGGGCACCTATGTGATATATATTTCGACCATATAAAATCAATAATTAATTGTTATAAGGAATCGTTGTTTTTGTTTGAGGTACCTATTAGTCTTTGATTAATTTAATTGACATTTTATTTACTGTTCTTGGGCACCTGTTTATATCTGTTCCATTTATAGTTTTTTGTTTTCTTGTCTTTTCATTAGCTTTAGTTTATTAATTGAAATTGTTTTTCTTACATTTATTTATACATTGTAGAATTGTAAGTATATTCTCTGTAATTGGGTGTGAATCCGTTGAGAATAAATGATTATTATTATTATTACTATAAAAGATTCCAACTTTTCATCTACAGTTAGATATTCAGACACCGTCAACGAAGTGATCAAAAACTGTTCGTATTGGCGCCATTTTATCAATACGGCGTCTTTCTTCCCTAGTGTTTTCTTTGGTAAATCTACGGCAGGATAATAAAAATTTAAATCTTTTCAATGGCATAGTAAATCTGAAAATGTCAATGCCTGTTCCATCGGAAGCCCATAAATCCACCAAATTTTGTCTTGCTGAACGAAAAAGGCCAGCAAGCTATAAAAGGCCTAAGCAAGCGGTGATTTTTGTCAGGCAAGTTTTTCTCACCATATGTTTATCAGTGTAATTGTTTGCCTTCCTGACGATCTTTTCGTTAGTGCATTCTACAATAGAATCTAGAATGATATCATCAATAAATAGCTTCCAACAATCTAATGGTGTTTTTACGTTTTGCGCAATTCTTTTAGGGCCAGGAAAGTGAGTTATTATATTTTCTCTTCTAGTACAAATTGCTGAGTTACCTAGATTTTCAGTCCATTTAGTCTTTTTATCAATACCCCATAAATACTGAGCTCTTCTTATTGTTTGTTGAACTGCGTGATCATCGACCTGTTCTTCAGTCCCAGAGACTTATGGGCGTTCATTGTTCTGGCTATCAACTAAAATATGTATTTCTGGAAGCTTCTTTTCCGAGTCTAAGTGGTAGGAATTCTCACTTATGTGATCCGGTGGTTCATCATCAGATATCGAGCCAATGTCTGACTCCTCATCGTTTACTTCTTTCCAAAGCTTCAAAAGTTTTCTTTGTTCGTCTTCGTAATACATTGTTTAACTAAAAATAATTATCTAAGTTTGCTTTGTCAATATTTATAGTATACTAAACCTTACGAATTCAAGAAATTTAACTTTTTTACCTTGGCACAAAATTATAACCACACTAGTATACTGGGATATGAGATACCCTACAACACTTTACACACCTCTACGAATGCCAGAGCCATACTGAGCAGCAGTGTTGCCAGGGTGTCAATGAAAAAATCCGCTACAAAAATTGAAAAAATCCGCTACGTTTCGCTACGCGCTACTGTCTCTTGTCATATAACATGTCATATGTCACATTTTGCTTGTTTGATGTTCACAGAACCAAAGTGGGTTTGAGTTTATTGGTTTATTTTAACATTTTTGTGACAAGTGAATTGGTGGAATGACGAAAAATAAAAAAAAATAATAAGTCAAATCTTAACACGGAAGAAATATTATATGTTCCGTGATTTTAACCTAATTTCATCTTAACGATATCAAAAAAGGCACAGGATGTCGCTACCATAAAAGTTACCTATTTTTTTTTTGTTATTTGACTGAACTCGTCTTCATAATAAACGGTACAAATATTGTTTATACAATTTCTACAAGATTTATTATTTTTTGTACTGTGGCAGGTTTTATTTCAAATTCTGCTACGTTTTAAGGTATTTTGAGCTATCGCTGCTACGCCGCTACCTTGATAAAATTCCGCTATGAATAGTAGAATTCCGCTACGTCTGGCAACACTGCTGAGCAGCGAAACAAGCTTAACATGCTACAGGCACTTATTTAGTTTGAAGGTACACGGCAGATAGCGCCTCTGAAATTATTAAAATGAAAGCGGTGACATTATTATTTAGGCTGGGGAATATTATACCCCACCGTACCAACGCCGGGTTAATAATTTTTTTTAGTTGGGTTGATGTAATAATTGAGTAATTTTGTTTTCTGATTTTTTCTAGCAATTTGTTCGCGGACCTGTGGTCATGGACAATGTGTCTCTCCTAATGTTTGTCTCTGTGATGGTGGTCAGAAAGCTTCAGCATGCGGCCCTGGAAATAAACAAATCCAAGGTATTCCTCACGGATCGTTCTTAAACCCACTCTAATTTTAATATTTATTTATGTAGTATTGAAAACATTTCTTTTGCTTATCACTTTTTTAAATATACTATTTCATAGGGACAGTATTGCCATTTTTTAAACGGTAATAGATATAAAGTTGCGCAGTTTTGTGCTCATTAAAATGGTGCCAAGAAAGCTTTGATATCTACAGGGAGATTCAAAATATCGGACAAAAAATTGAAATTATCATTTCTTTAAATTAATTTATTTTTTGCCCGATAATTTGAATGCGCAACTTTTACATAAATTAAACTACTTTCTATCTTTTACCGATTAAGAAATAGCAATACTGTCCCTATGAAATAGTAGGGACCCCCTAGATAGTAGACAAAATATGGTTGTTACTATTATTTAAGCTTTATAATATAAACACCATTTTTAATTTATTATTTTTTAGGACTAGATGGAAAATCTTGTAGGGCTATTTGTATGAACGGTGGTTCTTGTATAGATGGCAAATGCGTCTGCGCCGCTGGTTATAGCGGTGAATTTTGCACTGATCGTAAGTGTACAGAGAAATACATTTAATGCTTAATTCTTGATAAATTTTTTTTAAAGCAATTTGCGAAGAACCCTGTAAAAACGGAGGTAGATGCATAGGACCCGATAGATGCGCTTGCTTCTACGGATTTTCTGGGAACCACTGCGAAATTGGTAATTTTTTTTACAAATTCTTTTACTATGCTTATTTGACAGAATCTTGACAGTCCACAAGACCTAAAATAAGATAAAATTATTCAGATTTCAGGACTGGTCCTTGCTACACAGGCTACAGAGGAAACCTCTGCGTAAACCAATTAGAAGGCGTGGTCTGTACGAAAACTCTTTGTTGCGCCACTGTGGGCAAAGCGTGGGGACATCCCTGTCAACATTGTCCTTCCAGATTAGACTGCGAAACTGGTTTCTTGAAAAACCTTAAAACTGGTGAATGTGTGGGTAAGTGAAAAATATTTCACACAATATTTATACAATATTCATACAATATTTACACAATATTCACATAATGTTCACACAATATTCACACAATATTTACACAATATTCACACAATATTCACACAATATTCACATAATATTCACACAATATTCACACAATATTCACGCTATATTTACACAATATTCACACTATATCAACACACTATTCAAGTAATATTCACACAATATTCACAAAATATTTACATAATTTTAACAGTATATTCACACAATATTCACACAATATTCACACAATATTCACACAATATTCACACAATATTCACACAATATTCACACAATATTCACACAATATTCACACAATATTCACACAATATTCAAACAATATTCACACAATATTCACAAAATATTCACACAATATTCACATAATATTTACCCAATTTTAACAGTATATTCACACAATATTCACATAATATTCACACAATAATCACACAATATTCACACAATATTCAAACAATATTCACACAATATTCACACAATATTCACACAATATTCACACAATATTCACACAATATGCACACAATGTTCACACAATATCCATCCAATATCCATAGAATATTTATACAATATTCATAGAATATTCACACAATTTTCACACAATATTCACACAATATTCACACAATATTCACACAATATTCACACAATATTCACACAATATTTACACAATATTCACACAATATTGATCACACAATATTGATCACACAATATTGATCACACAATATTGATCACACAATATTGATCACACAATAATTACATATTAATCATATAATATTCACATAATATTCACCCTATATTCACCCTATATTCATACAATATTCACATAATATTCATACAGTATTAACACAATATTTACACATTACAACTACATCAGATAATGTTAATAAAATTATTCATTTAGAATAGAAAAAAATATTCATTGAAAATAAAACGTTTAATATCTTTTCTTTGTTCAATCAACATAGTTTCTCGAAAATTGCCCCAAAATCGTAAACATTCATTCTTGATTGAAATTCAATAGGAGGTATGTCACAGTTTGTTCTGGGCTATATCTTATATAGATAAAGAGGTTCAAAGGACTTGTCTTTGCTTCACCCTTATATTAACTTCAGCTCATACTTGGCTACTCCTTGTCAACTAGTTTTCGCCATTAGATAATACAGAGTTAAAGGCCTTAACATCTTTAAAATTTCCTATTATCTTTCTATGCCTATTGGCAGTTTCTTTCCAAATAGAGATTCTCTCCTTGCTTGAGTCCTCTTTATACACATATATTCACTTTTTTGTGGCTGTCCTCTGCTTTTCTTTGCTGCTTTCCCCCTTTGTTAATAATCCTTTTACTCATCTCTGATTTGAAATTCTCTCCGTATATTCTAACCATCGTAACGTTTTTATTCTTTCTATTTGAATGATCTCTACCTGCCCATATTTCTTCATTATAAAATATGTATTATTTTCTAAGTAATAATAAATCTTCGTGTATTTTTTACGTTTCTAGACATCAATGAATGCGAGGCCATACCGCACTTGTGCCAAGGCGGTACTTGCATAAATTCGGTGGGCTCTTTTACTTGCGAATGCCCTAGCGGCCAAACCAGGAACCCGGCGACGAACCGCTGCGAGGATAAGAACGAATGTGAAGAGGAGGACGTATGCCAAGATGGTCGATGTGTCAATACCAACGGAGGATTTATCTGCTTGTGTAACCCGGGCTTTATACAGAGTCAGGACAAAACTTACTGTATCGGTAAGTGATATGTATTCTCAATTAGTTCTATTCCTATTGTTTCATTTTATTTTTTCTCCTAGATGGACGCCAAGGTTTATGTTATACCCAAAGATCGCCTCAAGGATTCTGTAGCAACAGCTTACAGATGCGTTTGTCGAAAAAAGACTGCTGCTGCGGAGTTAACATGGGACAAGGATGGGCTATGTACAGCGGAGAAGAGTGTATTGCTTGCCCGGAATATGGCGAAGGTAATCTATCTTAAAATACCTAAACTTCTATTAATTTGGAGCATTAAAATTATTGTTATTTTCTTATAGACGAACACAGAAAACTATGCGAAGCACCATCTCACCCCATTCCCACATATCCAGGAGGTCACTTCGATATCACTCCAGGAAAAATACCGGATGGTAGTAGCCAGGTGGGACAGATCAGTGTTAACGAGTGTATATTAAGACCGGACATTTGTGGACAAGGCAAATGTATAGATACCATTCAAGGTTACGAGTGCATTTGTGATGCTGGATATAGACTGAACAGTAATAACGTGTGCGAAGATATTGACGAATGTAGAGAAGGAAAATGTATAAATGGACGATGCACAAATCTGCCGGGTAGCTTTTCGTGTCTTTGTCCACCCGGTTTCGATGTTTCCCCAGACGGTACAATGTGTACAGACCACGATGAATGTTCGGAAATAGGAATGTGTACCAATGGGATTTGTATCAATATGGACGGCAGTTTCAAATGTCAATGCAAACCTGGATTTAAGCTGTCTGCTACTGGGTTCGCGTGTACCGGTAAGTTATTTAATTTAAAACAAGTAAACAATATTATATATTTTGTTTTGGTAGATATCGATGAATGTTATGAAAATCCACGAATATGTCTAAACGGAAGATGCCAAAATACTGCAGGGTCTTATACTTGCGCCTGTTTACCAGGATTCGTGGAATCTGATGATAGAACATTTTGCAGTGATTTAGACGAATGTTCTTCGACAGGTAAAAATCCCTTTTTACTCTTACTCTTAGGAACTAAAAATTAATATTTTGTCTAGGTATGTGCGACCACGGAAAATGTATCAACATGGAAGGTTCCTTCAGATGCGTATGCGACTCTGGCTACCGGCTAGGTCCAGACGGGAGACATTGCGTAGATATAGATGAATGTATCAACAATCCTTGTCAATTTGGGAGTTGCTATAATACTCCTGGTAGCTTCAGATGCGAATGCCATCCAGGATTTAGCCTTGGTAAGAAATCTTATTCACTGCGTCAATTTTACTACGAAATATTTTATTTATTGATACTTTTATTACCTTAGGACCTGATGGTAGGTCCTGCTTGGACATACGACGAGATCTTTGCTATCAAGAATATCGCGATGGTCTGTGTTTCAACCCGTCAACTACAGCCGTTACTAAATCGAGTTGTTGCTGTTGTACCATCATTTCGGGAAAACCAATGGGTTGGGGAACGACATGTCAACCTTGTCCGATGCCCGGAAGCACCGATTTTGATCTACTTTGTCCGCATGGTCCAGGTAATTTACTTACGAGCGTGTTTGGTCGATTAAATAAGAAATTTTGGAATGTTTTTAGGTTCTACTTTTGACGGTAACGATATTAACGAGTGTGCGCAGAATCCGAACATTTGTCAAAATGGCGCCTGCGAAAATATGATCGGCACGTATAGATGCATCTGTAATCCTGGGTTTGAGGTCGACGAAACTGGAAAAATATGCACGGACATTAATGAGTGTGAAGTGGAAGAATTGGTAAGTGATAGACTGAGAACGGGAGGCTTCTTAGACTATAAGAATGGATTAAAAGGATTTTTAAAAAGCTCGTTACCGTCTTTATCCAAAGAAGCTTTCATTTTTAATTTAATTTCATTATTATTACTCAAACGAGAGAATGTCAAAGTGTGCAACATTATTTTCTGAAATAAAAATCGTATCATCCCATTAAAATATTTTGAATCGTGTCCATTATGAATTGTTAGATTAATCCTACAGGTGTGTAGCGGTGGCCAATGTCGAAACACTCCAGGCAGCTTCCAGTGCATCTGTCCAACGGGAACCCAGATGAACGCGAAGAATTTTGTTTGCGAAGATATTGATGAGTGCAGAGAACTGGGCCCAGAAGCGTGTTTCAATGGAGAGTGCGTCAACACTCACGGATCTTATAAATGCGAATGTGATCCTGGATCAATTTTGGACAATACTGGAAGAATTTGCATCGGTATTAATTTTAATAATTTTATCCAAAACTGTTTCAAACTCTTTATATTTCTATTACAGATAATCGAAAAGGATCTTGTTGGACAACGCTTAATAGAGGTCGCTGTGAGAACGATTTACCCCAGTTGAGTAGACGATCGGAGTGCTGTTGCTCGGTAGGTGTGGCCTGGGGTTCGCCTTGCGAAAGATGTAACAGGAACGAATGCGACTGTTCCAAAGGATACGCCAAAGCAGACGGGAAAATATGCACGGATATTAACGAGTGTGACTTGAATCCGGATATTTGTAGAGGAGGTGGTACTTGTGTCAATACTGATGGCAGTTTTACTTGCAGCTGTCCACCTGGACTGACCCTAGATGATACTAGTATGTATTAATCCCTTTCAAATTATAATAAATTCACACCTGATACTAAAATCATTTCAATTTTATAGCAAAGATGATGCTATAAAAAGATAATAATAATAAATAAATTTGCTATAAAAAAGGATATAAACATTTTTGGCCACAGACCAATTGTTTTTGAGAGACAGTTGCGCAAAGATTAGAATTTGATCGTTACGTTTCACTGATAGTCGAGCGGTTAAGACCATGTCCGGGCATTTACACTTTCGTTTGTTTTCACATTAGGTTGTTTAAAAATTTGTTTCCTAATTTCCTACCAATTTTTCTTATTAATTTATTACAGGAACCAAATGCCTGGATATCCGCCAAGAGCAATGCTACACCAGATACAAGCACGGAAAATGCACAAACTCGATAGACGGCTACTTCCACAGGAGCCTGTGCTGCTGTTCTCAAATAGGAAAAGCCTGGGGCGATAGATGCGAACCGTGTCCCAGACAAGGTACGGCGGCTTTTAACGAATTATGCCCAAAAGGATTAGGATTCCTTGATAAAAAGGATATAAACGAATGCACCGACTTCCCTGGTATATGTCAAAATGGCAGATGCAAAAATACCATCGGAGCGTACAGCTGCAAATGTAATAAAGGTTACGATTATGATGATAATAAGATCAAATGCACTGGTAAGTAGTTTAATAGTATCATTTGCTTATATGACTAATAACGAATTCGTTTTCTTTTCAAGATATTGATGAATGTAATTTGACTACTGAAAACGTTTGTGGAAATGGCGTTTGTAAAAATACTCCTGGTGATTTTATTTGTGAATGTAACGAAGGATATAGGACGATGGCCCCAATGCAAATATGTATGGGTAAGTATTTGGTGCAATATAAGGAATATCCTGTGCTATATTGATGATCTGTACTAATCTATTAATAATATAAACTGTTTAGTCTTTAGCCTGCCTCAATCAATCAATCAAAATTATTTATTTTAAAATATTTACATAAATACATATAATACAATTCATGTATTTCATTGCTTCCTCATATAAAAATATCAAAGGCGGCCAAGAGGTCCCTGACAGATCCTACCAGGCCGTGGCTGATGTTTTTGCCCGCAATGCACGAATGGTATTCTCTAATAATGATGTTTCGTCCACTCCTTATCCCTTGATATTATTAGACAGTTTTGGTGTATTTTGGTTACGGTAATTTAACTTATTTTAAAGTTATATATGATCTTATTTCTGATTAATTTCCTTGAAAAATGTACAAAAACCATGTCAGATTTTAATCGTCTGGGATTGGTTTTACAGCTTCGCTATTCGACACGCCCACCGACCAATCAAAGCCCATCTGGACTCTGATTCGTCGATCGACCCATCGTTCAGTTTCCGCCGACTAAAGTTAATAGCTGGTCGTGTCGAGGCTGATTGTTTCAGTAAATCGCTTGCAGCGGAGCTTTATGTCAGTTGTACTTTGTCCTTGTCAATGTCTGTCACATACTTTGATTTTCTCTTACTATTCGGAGAATGGTCGCACGGCGCAGCTTTCTGAGTGCCTTTTAAAAGGAGAAAGAAAACTCCGCCATTTTGATACCTTATTACGTGTTGCCTACATCGTGGCGCAACATTTTTAATAGGTGCGTTTTAATAATCCGCTTCTGCTTCGGAATTGTGGGTTTTCTTGTTTTAATCTGACAGGTTAAAACGACTAAACCGACAATTCCGGAAGCAGAAGCGGATGATTAAAACGCACATGATATTTGTCTTGCTGCTGTCAATTTCAGTAAATATTATTTTTGGAGTCACAGTTTATTGCTAAAGAATCAGTTAGCTCACTCGGACCAGTTGAAAGTTCCAAAATAACATCCACTCCAGGGAGACCAATTCAGGATGCGCAGAAGACTGATGTTTTATTATAGGCGGTTGTCATATATTGTATTATCCGAGTTGCGCAGTATATAAACTGGAACATTGAGATCAAAAGTGCCGACGCAGAGTGAGCGAAATGATTCTTTAGTTATAAACTGTGGTAAAGGCATCAAAATAGCCGCGCCCTATATTGGGCGTATCGGACCTCTCTCTTGCACCGTATAGTAATCATTTCTAGATTTTTATGTAAACTGTTCGTCCTAGTCCCGTTGTCTTGTCTTATGTTGGTTATGTCGTCCCTAATGTGTGTCGGAAGACTATTCTTGTAGTATTTATTAGCTGTTTCAAGGATTAAAGTTTTAATTAATTTTGTTTGTCTCTGTGTGCATGACAGTTATGTCGTATCCCAGAATCAGCCTCAGACAGCTATTCTGCATTGTCTGAAGTTTTTTAAACTGTGTGTCTGCCATCGAATAGAAGACCGGACATCCATATATTAGAATTGCCGTATAATCTGCACATACATTAAAAGTTTATTCACTCTCGTTATATTACTCCGTCTATGAACCATCGGGTACAGGGTGCTCCATGTCCCCGTGGCTTTACTCACTCTGTCCTCAATGTGTCGCTGAATAGTTAGCCCCTTATCTAGAACAAAACCGAGGTATTTCATGCTCTTTTTAATCTCAATTGTGTTGTTACCGACTTTTATTTTATTATATATTTTCATTGTGTTCCTTTTAATGAGGAGCAAGCTTTCAGTTTTACCAGGATTGATTTTCATTTTATTTTCCTCTAGATAAGGGATTAGTGTTCTATTTATATGTACGTCCAGCCTTCCGTGCTCTTAAAGACTAGTGGCCCGTCGTGTATCATTATGGTGTTTGAATACTGTTGTTTGAATATGGCATTTACAATATGGGTAATTTGTACTAGAGCTTTTCTAGTTAGATTTTTTAACATTAGGTTCTTTATACCATCCAGACCTGGCGCTTTATTGTTTTTAAATCTCCGGATAGCGTTTTTTACGTTTTGGGGTGTGCCTAAGAATGAACGAGGAACGGTTTGTATTGGTAATTGTTTTATTTCGCGAGCTTAATTTTAAATCGCCTCCTGGGCTTCATTGTTTACTTGATCGTTGACAAATTTACTCTGAAAGTGTTCCCCGAGGGCCACGCCTTTTTTGATGTCTGTAGTGTCATTTCTGTTAAGAAAGGTAGTTGACTGTATGGATTTTTAAAACTTTTGGCCATTTTTCAGACTGAATTATCCATAGCATTGAACTCACTAAGTTTAAGTTGCCATTTATCGTTCCTAAAGTTTTAATTTTTTAGTTAATGTGTTTTGTTATATCTTCTTTAAGTCCTATGTTATCTGTTTCCGTTTTATTTTGTTGCCATCTTTTTCTAATGGCATTTTTCTGCACGTTGAAGTCAGTGATTTGGTCAGGTAGTTTCTCTTCGAATTGTCTAGTTTTAACTATTTTCGTGGAGTTATTTCTCATAACATAACAAAATCTTTATTGATTTTTAAATAATTTATCTACATCGTCAAAAAATCGTTCTTCGCCTAGTGGATCCTTGTGTTGCCACATGGAGCCATGCACGACGTCCTGTCCCAAACCATCAAATGTACGTTGTTTATTGCTGTGTTTATTTCAATATCTCCTTATCATAACATGATATTATATATTGGTTCTGCTTGATTTTGTTTAAAAAACGATAATTTCTCTTAATTAAAAACTGTGTATGTCGTTAGTTATGTGTTGTTTTTCCCTGAACAAGCGCGTGAAAAAACAGGGTTGTCTTTAAATGAATGTCCGTGTGTTGCGTCCCGTGTAGTTTGTGTATTCCCGGTATGCAAGCTCATGTATTGGGCTATGAAAAGATCTCCAGGGCAGAAATCGAGGGAACCTCGAGCGCTGCTCCGGTGGAGTTATTTCTCTAGCCTGCCTAATAAAGTAATTATTAAACCATGTGGTATTCCGTCCGCTCAAGAACATTATTTGTAAACCGTTTAGTTTTCGGTCCGCTTGAGATCATAATTTTTAAACAATGTAGTATTCCGTCCGCACAAGGATATCATTTATAAACCGTCTAGTCTTCAGTGCGCCTAAAGACATCATTTTAAACAAAAAGGTCTTCCATTCGATCAAAGAGGTTAACCGTTTAGTCTTTTTTTCCGCTTAACGAAACAGTCTTCCGTCTGATCATTATTAAACCTTCTAAACTATTTCTTCGAGGATACGTTATCGCAATATTGAACATTCTTTTTAATAAACTTCATTTTAGATATCGATGAATGCGAGGAAAATCCAGGCCTTTGCAGGGGCGGACTGTGCATCAATACCGACGGCTCATACAAATGCGAATGTCCTATTGGTCACGAGTTATCACCCGATAAGGATTCTTGTAAAGATATCGACGAATGTTCGAGATCTAGCGGTATTTGTTCGAACGGTGTATGCGAAAATATGATGGGTACATATCAGTGCATTTGTAACGAAGGGTATAGACAGACTGGGCAGAAATCGCATTGCGAAGGTAAGTGATTGAATATTACATGTTATTTTTTTGGTGTACGTGGAAATTCAACGAAATTTTCTTCTGCAGATATTGATGAATGCGACGAGGAGCCTTGCGACGATCTGTGTGTCAACATACCAGGCAGCTTTTCTTGCGCTTGCGGGTACGGTAGAATGAAAATATTAAATCTATTTTGTTAATTTTTTTTTCCTTTTTTTAGTACCGGTTATACGCTAAATTTCGATGGAAAATCGTGCGCGGATATAGACGAATGCAAGGACAATCCTAGAATTTGCAATGGTGGAAGGTGTACTAACACAATCGGCAGCTATATATGTCATTGTACGGAAGGATTGTATGCAGGTCCAAGCGGGACGTCTTGCAAAGGTAAACTGAGAGTGTTACTATCAGAATACAGTTCATTTAATATTCTCTATTTCAGATATCGACGAATGTAAGCAGAACCCTAACGTTTGCGGGGCAGGAGAATGCGTCAACACCTTGGGGTCCTTCCACTGCAGATGCGAAGAAGGGTATTCTGTCAAACCTGAAGGAGGACCACAATGTACCGATGAAGACGAGTGTTATTTGGGTACATACAACTGCGACGATAATGCTGACTGTATAAATAACCCGGTAAGTTATAGATATAGAGCCTTACAAAATGCCTCTACTGACTGACAACGAGTTTGAAAATATTATATTTTTCCCAATCACTATTTCTATTTGCGTTTAAATTCTTTAAGAAATACCAATACAAATATGTATTATATATTAATACTCCTTATATGACTAAAACGTTGACTTTAATATCCATTTTAATTAAGGTTGTGCTCTGAAGTACAAATATTTACTATGATTTCAATTATATTTGTATCAGACAAGGCCTAGATCAAAACAGTTTTGAGTAACGCGGTTATATCGACAAAAAGTGCTGTATTTTTATTTTTTTTTTTGCATTTTTAAGAATTTTTAATTTATTGAGCTAAATATTTTCTCGTTATAAATTAATATACAATGATTTGTGAGTGGTACTTATGCGTACCATAAAAATATATATAAATATGTACCATTAGTACAAATATGTACCGTTAGTAAAAATATGTATTGGTGGTACAAATATGCACCACCACCAATTTTCAAAAACAGTACGTAAGACCTTAACATTTTGTTACTTATTAAACCTGTGATGATATAAAAAATGTTGATTAAAAAGCCTTCAGAGTATTTCCTGTAAAGAGTTAATTTTTGTATGATAAAAAAAATAATCGAAAATGTTTTAGGGTTCATATCAATGTCGCTGTCAAGATGGTTTCACCGGAAACGGCATCAATTGTCGCGATATCAACGAATGTTTGACAAACAATGGCGGTTGTGACCAGAACGCTCAATGTATCAACAATGACGGATCATTTAGGTATTTTTTTGCTACAACGTTTATTTTCATACAGAAACGACAATGTGGTGTTGTACCAGCCACCTTATTGAATTGACATTACTCCATGTGATTTTTTTTAGATGCGAGTGTGATGCCGGCTTTAAAGGTGATGGTTATACTTGCAACGACATCGACGAGTGTTCCAACGATCCTAGCCTGTGCGAGAACGGCCAATGTGTCAATTATCCAGGTTCCTTTAGGTGCGAGTGTGAGATGGGCTTTATGCAGCCGCAGGAAGGCAACGAGCAATCGTGCGTGGGTCAGTAAAAGAGACTTTGGTGATTGTTTTTGGACTAACAAATGCTTTATACACGTTATTTTTTATGCTGTAAGATGACTGATGCTAACAAGTAATATTATGGGTATTAACAAATAAATTTTAATAAATAGGTAGTCGCTTTAGTTTAAATGTGAGTGTAAGATGGGATTTAGGTGTATTTTTATTTAATTTTTGAACTTATTTAGTATTTCTAACGAACGAATAAGGAACATGTGCGTCAATATTTTCATTACAAGATTTGTCGATATATTGTTTTATTATTTTTAAGAAGTTGAAATAAGTCAAACTAACATTATTTATAAAATGTCTAGTCTTCAGTCCGCTTAAGGTCATCATTTGTAAACCAGATAGTCTTCCGTCCGCTCAAGGACGTCATCTATTAACCGTTCAGTCTTCAGGTCGCTTCACAACATAATTTTTAAACCATCTAGTCATCTGTCTGATCAAAGATATCAATATATAAACCTTTTAGACTATTTGCTATTTTTAACAAACAAAAGAAAATATGCAACAATATTTTTACTACAACATTTATGGATATCTTATTATTTTTAAGAAGTCGAAATATCACTGAACTAACATCACTTTATCAATAATTCATGCTTTTGTAGTTAGCTTCTTACGCTTTAGAATATTAACCCAATGGATCCAGAAAGAAGAACCAATGGAAAAAAAGAAACAGTAGATAGAGCAGCTCCAAAAATACTAACAAATAAAATTAACTAACTAGCACATTATACAGGTATAGTCACTTTTTATAACTACTTAATCAATTTGAGTTGGGCTTTTATTAAATAATTGATTACAATATGTTTTTGATCTTTAAATCAATAATACAATTTCACTAGGTATTTCGTTATTCAAAAAAGTCTTGTTACAAAAATATGTTCTATTTTTTAATTTTTGGCCCAATCCAGACAATTTGTTCTTCCACCAAATTCAAAATGCTCTTTTAATCTTTATTTAATTTTTCACGTAGTTTTACCTATTTATTATTGCAGAATCATTTCGAAAACATTCTTTCTGGCTGATGGTATCCAACCATTCTTACATTTAAACTATTTGTAACTCCTTTTTTTATTACAAATCTAGATATCAACGAATGCGACATGTTCAACAATCTGTGCGTGTTTGGTAAATGCGAAAACACGTTCGGCTTCTTCAGGTGTGAGTGTTACGACGGTTACAAACTTGACAGCTCTGGAGGAAACTGCACGGATATTGACGAATGCGAGAGTCCTCAGTCGTGTCTCTATGGAGAATGTACAAATACAGACGGTAGTTTCAAATGCCTTTGCCCACCTCACCATGACTTGGTGTCAGAAGGAAATGCTTGCATTGGTAAGAAATATAATTTCAGTACTCGTACGATACTATTAATATTTTTTGCATGGTTTAGATAGGAGAACATCGAGATGCTTCCTAGAAGTTGACGGACCTGGAAGATGTTCGTCTCCAACTGCTGATTATGTAACCAAGGCTGGATGTTGCTGTTCCGTAGGTCAAGGATGGGGTCCTAACTGCGATTTGTGCCCACCACCAGACAGTCCAGAATACCAGCAATTGTGCCCCGGAGGAATGGGATATAAACCTAATGACGTCACTGTATGTTTCCCATCTTTATAATTGTGTTATTATTGATTATTGATTTTTGTAGGTGGTACTTGAAGACATAAACGAATGCGAAGAACACAAAAACATTTGCAAGAACGGTCACTGTACCAACACATTCGGTAGCTTTATGTGCTCCTGCAACGAGGGATACAGACTGGATCCAACTGGTTTTATGTGCATAGATGTCAACGAATGTTTCGAAAATCCAAATATTTGTAATGTCGGAGAATGTATTAACGAACCCGGAAAGTACTACTGCCAGTGTCCCGAAGGATACATGCCGATGCCTGGAAGACGTAAGAAAAAACTTAAATAATTTTCCTTGTTTGATTAAAAAAAAATGTTTATGGAAAAAATCTGGAAAAGTTGTAAAACGCAATAACCACCATGTTTGTAATTATGGGTTTAGCCGCAGACGTTACAGCTTTGGTCCAAATATTAAAGAGTAATTACTAATAATTTAAAAACAAATTTATTTTAGGTGAATGCGTGGATATGCGAAAAGACCTCTGTTTCTTAAACTACAGCCGATGGAGGTGTTCGACTCCCATGACGCAAAACCAAACGAAGAAAGTGTGCTGTTGCTCGATGGGACAAGCTTGGGGTCAACCCTGTGAACCATGTCCTCTGGCAGGCACCAGTAGGTATAAATTTCTTCACTTACTTCATTTCTAGGATACATGTCTACATTTTTGTTTAAATTTACTAAAAACCTGTGGTGTTCAAATTTCTTGAATCCAAATTTGTTCTGATTAATCTGTCATTTTTACATTTTTATGGACACAAAAAGACGAGCAATTTAATGTTTGAAATTGTTTATAACCTACAATAGGATTATTATTTTTTTTGTAGAGACATGTATCCATCATCTTTTTCTTTTGACAATCATCTTATTTACATTTACTTGATTTACTTAAAATATATGGATGACTGAAATACGTAAAATGAAATACAGAGTGACGTTGTCTCCCAACCTCCACTTCCAGATTTTTATACATGGTCATACGCTTTCTATTTACCACATATAACAACTACTTTCAGTTGTATAAACTCAACCGGATATTGAGTGAGATATGTTATATTATTACTTTTTCCCGACAACAAACTTTTTAATTTGGCATTTAAAGTTAATATGAATCGCCTTAATTGGGGCTCTTCAGATAGAGGCAGTCAACTCGAGTAGAATCTCTAATTTATTCTAAAAACAATTTGACTATACATGAACATATCTTAACATATTTAAAAAGTGCAAACAGTCACGCCATCTTCACTCAAATGGCTAAGTTTGACTTTTATCATTTTTTATTTTTAAATCTACAAGGTAATTGTAAAGTTATTTATAGACGTTAGAATGTTTGTAGAAATTATCTTGTAGATGTCGATACATTTCAATTACATCTTCTTTATGACTAAAAATATCCTATTCAATTTTCTTTTACTATTTTATTATACACCTATGATTAGCACAGAAAAAAAACAGATTATAGTGAAAGGTTCTTTAAGGTGATCACATTGGCTTGTGTGGAGTACGTCCTGGCCAAATAGTTAACCCAATAACTAATGAAACCATGGAAATTGATGAGTGCGAGTTAATGCCATCTATGTGCAAACACGGTCAATGCATCAACACGCCTGGAAGCTTCGAATGCATGTGCAATCGGTAAGTATATCATTTCGATTTAGAAATTTTTAGATTTCTTTCTTCTTTTATCCTAAGAAGCAGAAACTGTCTACAAATATTAAAAACCATCTGACAACAACACTTATAAGCGGGTGGCAGGACGTGGAGCTAAAGATAATAAACAAGTTGCTAATCTTACAAAACAAGGACCATAAAACAATTTTATAGGCCTTGAACTAGTCTTCTTAACCTTTTTATTCATTATTTTATAATTCTTTTAGCTGAAAAGTTGCTACATCTTTTTTTTACCAAAACCAAAGGGATCGGTAATAATCATTTATAGCCTGAGCAGCCTTTGTGCTACCAGATTTCCGTGAAATAACAACTGAAACTTCTTGTTCTTCAATTGTGGATTATCTTTCATCTCTTATCTTAAGAAATAGAAACTGTCTACTAATTTTAAAAATCTTCTGGCAATAAAAAGCAAGTTAACACTTATATGCTTTTATGGACTGTAGGACATAATTAAGATAATGAACGATCTAATAAACTTACAAAACAAGGGCCACAAGGCCTTGCACTAGTATGAATCAGAATAACAAATAAAAAATGAACAAAATTATCCTTAATCTTTTCCATCTTGATTTTTTTATTTCTTCTCTTATCTGAACTGATTTAGCATATGTTTCTTTATCAGAAGCAAATACATAAATGATTTTTGTACTACCGGCTTTCAATGGGCTAGTAACTGAAACTTCTAGTTGTTTAATTTTAAATTATCTTTCTTTATTTTGTTTATCTTAAGAATCAGATACTGTCTATTAAACCTAAAAACTCTCTGTCAATAAATAATAAATAAACACTTATATGAATGAGAAAATAAAACAACTCCAAATCAATCCCATATATTTTATAAATGTGGGATTGATTTGGAGTTGTTTTATTTTCTCATTGAAGATGGCCACATTTGAGAGGTTGGATTCCCTTCTTAGTTTACTTATATGAATGGCGGGACATTGAAGATAATAAAAAATATGATAACCTTACAAAACAAGGAACAAACGATAATTTTATAGACCTTGAAACATTCTATAAACCGATATACTAAATAAATATTAAATGAAATTCTACTCAACATTTTCCATCATGTTTTTTATAGTTTTTCTATTATCTAAACAGTTTACGCAACAGAATTCAATGGGTTAGTAACGGAACCTCGTTCAGTTTGGATCATCTTTAAAATTGCTATTTACATCATCCATGTTATAGTGTTTTATTAAAACAACTAGCTTAGTGACGATCCTCTACTATATTTTTATATATTTTAAACTTTGTATTATAATTTTTAGAGGTTATATCTATGACGAAAATTCTCACCAATGCATTGACGACAACGAATGTCTGAGAAATCCTTGCGAAGGAACAGCTCAGTGTGTCAATCTACCTGGCAGCTTCGAATGCAAATGTCCAGCTGGTTATAAACATGGCGCTACTTTTATGGACTGCGTAGACATAGACGAGTGTATAGAGAAACCGCACATATGTCAGAATGGGGAATGCAAGAATTTAGATGGAGGATTTCAGTGTATTTGTCCTACCGGATACCTTCTTACATCCACAAGGTAAAAAACTTTCATCTTCTTTGAAAAGACGTCCGTAAAAAATATTTTTTTACAGGGATACGTGCTTGGACATAGACGAATGTCAGCGGCATCCAAACATCTGCAACAACGGTAGCTGTTTGAACATGGTCGGACACTACAAGTGCCATTGCAACCAAGGTTTTAAGCTGAGCAATAACAATGATTGCGTGGACATAGACGAATGCCATATGATGCCGTTCCTGTGCAGAAACGGTAGATGCAGAAACACTATGGGATCTTTCTATTGCGAATGTGCCAACGGTTACGTTTTAACCCACGACAAGCACAATTGCAGAGATATCGATGAATGTCAAGAGGTACGTTGTCGTAGATAACAGCTTTTATATTTACCTGATTTTATCATTTGTTATTTAGACACCAGGAGCTTGCCCGCCTCCTGGTAGATGTACCAACGTTATGGGTTCGTTCGTATGCAGTTGCCCAGAAGGTTATGAATTAAGCGCCGTCACAGGTGTTTGCGAAGATGTTGACGAATGCGTTTCCAATGTTGGCATCTGCGAAAACGGTATTTGCACCAATACGGATGGCGGCGCATTCTGTACTTGTCAAGAAGGGTTCATTTTAGAGCACGTAAGTTAATTTTTTTTTCTTTAAGAAGTAAAATTAATGAGTAATGGATCTTTTTCAGCAATCAATGAAATGTATCGACATCAGACAAGAACAATGCTACGACATTTTCAATAGAGGACAATGTCAGGAACCTAGAGGAATGAGCATTACAGCTAAGGAGTGTTGTTGTTCCAAGGGAGCTGCCTGGGGACGGTATTGTGAAAGATGTCCACTGGATGGGTCCCGTAAGTAAATTAAAATTGTTTCTAAAGCATCGTTATTACAAGTCTAATTAGCTGAATTCGGTCCTTTTGGTTTATTATCCATTCAAGTGTCTCTCCTTTAACTTCAACTTTTCACCTTTTCCTTGCTTCACAGGTATGATAAATGCAATTGATATACAGGGTGTACCAATAAAAACTCCCAGGTCGGATATTTTGGTAAGTAATAGAGACATTTAAATTCTGTAAAAGCCAGTTCATAGAGCACTAAGAGAGCTTCAGTTTTAGATATAAATTGATTTTAAATATATCAATATGTAGATGGCGCTGCGCTCAATAATTTTTTTTCGATGGGAGGACCTTTCTTGTGTAGCGCATCTTGTAAAAAATGCATTTTAAAGCAAATTTTGTTTTATGAACTAATTCGATAAATCTCGCCATTTTTGATATACAGGTCACTCAAAACAGTTTCATCCTGTTTTTCGGCATTAATCATTGAATTTTTAGAAAATGCTAAAACAGGTCGATTTTTATTCCAAATTATACATATTTTTACAATACAGACATCTGTCACGTCTCTCCAACACCTTAATTTTAAATAAGGAATGTACCATGTACGGCACATCATTAAAAAGGTAATTTTATGGGGAAGTCAGAAATATAACAGTTTATTGCGATACTTTTAATTTTAGCGCCCTCTATCGGGATAAAAAATATGTAACGTATTATAAAGTGTGACACTTCATTTGAAAGCTAATTTAATTACTAATTTAATGCACCACATAACACTAATATAAATATTTCCATATTGTGCTTCAGTGCCGGATTTATATTTTTTATGAGTGTAGGCCACTTTATTTTCACCGCCCCATGTACTTTTCTAAAATAATAATTTTCCATTTGTAGTAAGGAAGATACTAATGTTAAATAAACGAATGAATTAGTCATTAAGAAAGAGCGTAAAAAAGAAACAATAATTATAATTTTTTACGAGACTCTTTAATAGCAAAATCATCTATAATATCATGATAATTTATGGTGTTTATTATCTCTGCTTCTTTGTAGAGAAGAGCTAAAGAATTCATTTTTTCTTGAGACAATGAAGACCTTTGATAATTTTTCAGGCGTTTTAAACAGGAAAAACTTCTTTAAAGTTGAAGGTGGTAGCCATGTGTGAGTTATAAGTTCAAAAAAGGTAAATCAAACGAGGGTGGTCCTTAGGATCTCACAAGAGTATTTTATTACGACCGGTTTCGAGGATCAGATCCTCATCATCAGGTAAGGTCTAAAATAGAGAGGAAAAACGAATGAATATTAAAATGTTTAAACCCACTTTATTAGTTATGAGCTCATTCGTTTTTCCTCTCTATTTTAGACCTTACCTGATGATGAGGATCTGATCCACGAAACCGGTCGTAATAAAATACTCTTGTGAGATCCTAAGGACCACCCTCGTTTGATTTACCTTTTTTGGAGGAAAAACTTCTTTTCCTAGAACAATTTGTGCAATGCGGAGAGCTATAACCAAGTTAGGGGTAAACAGATAGAGATTGATTCCTTAAAAACGTTGAGAGACAGTAGTGAGTTTGATCCAGGCTTCACTGCACACTCTGTAGTTTTATTAGAGGAAATGTGCCTGTGAAAATGTACACATTCTTGAACCAAATCGTCGTAATATAGATAAAATAGGTACAATAACAGAAGGTACCTAGGATTGATAATTTTCGATACGAATGAGTTGAACCTGTTTGACTTTTATTCTCTGAAATCAAGTAAGCGTCCTCTGAAATCTGCCGCCCCTAGGACGCTGCCGCCCCTAGGCCGCGGCCTATATGGTCTATTGACAAATCCAGGACTGTTGTGCTTGCAACAAAATAAAAGCAATAATGTTTAAAATAATGCATGACTAATTTTCAAACTATTGCAAGTGCAATATGGATATTTATATTATTATTGTTATTAATTAATGTTATGTAGTACATTGAATTAGTAATTAAATTTGCTTTCAAATAAGGTGTCACACTTTAAAATTTGTAGTTTTTTATCCCGATAGAGGGCGGTACAGTTAAAAGTATCACAACGAACAGTCATATTTCTAAATTCCCCATTACCTTCTTAATGATGTACTACACATTGTAATATCACAGTCTATAATACGTAGTAGTATTTTATCCCGCTAGAGGGCGATAAAATTTAAGTAACGCAATGTACAGAAATATTTCTGAATCCCCCATTAAATTACCTTTTTAATGATGTGCCATACATGGTACATTACCTATTTAAAATTAAGGTGTGGAGAAGTACAAGGGAGGGGGTTGACACATGACAGATGTCTGTATTGTAAAAATGTTTTAAATTTGGAATAAAAATCGACCTGTTTTAGCATTTTTTTAAAATCCAATGATTAATGCTGAAAAACAGGATGAAACTGTGACCCACTCTGTATATCAAAAATGGCTAAATATATCGAATTAGTTCATAGAACAAAATCTGCTTAAAAATGCATTTTTTACAAGATGCGCTACACGAGAAAGATCCATCGAAAAACAATTATTGAGCGCAGCGCCATCTACATATTGACCTATTTAAAATCAATTTATATCTAAAACTAAAGCTCTCTTAGTGCTCTGTGAACTGGCTTTTACAGAATTAAAATATCTCTGTTACTTAGCAAAATATCCGGCCTGGGAGTTTTTATTGGTACACCCTGTATATTTATTTATTTGAATTTCAAAAGTAGAATTATTGTCTTATCATGGCTAATAGTACAATGTCAATTCTTTTAGAGGAGTTCTTGAAAATGTGCCCGGAAGGACCTGGCAGGATGGACACGGGAAGCGACTTAAACGAGTGCGAACTGATGCCCAATGTATGCGATGGTGGCGAGTGCGTCAATACAGATGGATCTTTTAGATGCGATTGTCCTTCGGGGTACGTCTTGGATGGTACTGGTAAAAAATGCGTAGATGACAACGAATGTATTTCCACTTCTAACGTTTGCGGTAACGGGACATGTTTAAACGTTGTGGGAGGTTTCGAGTGCAGCTGTAACGATGGGTTCGCACCTGGACCTCTTCAGGTACGTATTCGATATATTAGGCAAATTATTTATCCTTCAGGTCTCTTTTTCATGTTACATAGGTATGCGAAGATATCAACGAATGCCATGAAATTGGCAACCAATGTGCCTTTAGGTGCCACAACGTTCCCGGTTCATTCAGATGCATCTGCCCCTATGGTTATGCATTAGCTCCAGATGGTAGACATTGTACAGGTTAGTTATCTTCTAAGTCTATTTTCTTCAATTTACTGAATTTATTTTTATGGTAGATCTACAAGAAGTGTTCTTGGTCCCTTTAAATTATTTTTTATTTACTATTTTTTCCTTATTGTCACGTCGTGACATATCAATGTAGTTTGGGTAGCTCAGATTTTATCTGACGACGCCACGACGAGCTCCAGCTCGCCACGCTATATTCCGGGTAGCTCGAACTTCTCCAAGGTTTGGATAAAGTCCGGTCGACCCAAAATACAACCTTGTGAGGAGTACTTAATAATATAATTTAACAGTTACTTTAACTATGGTTCTGCTTGTTGGAAAAAAGGAATTAAAATCACCAATGAAAACTTTTATTAATCCAGAAATAGATTTTTTAAATAGACACAAAAATAATTATAAAACCACTAATCAAAACTAGCACTTTTATTAATCCAGAGATTAATTTTTTAAACAGACATACAAAAATAATTATAAAAATGTTTATGCTTACCGCATTATTTATTTGGGACAGGTCCACAAATTCTTTTTTATTTTATTTTATTTTAAGTTATTTATTTTAAGTAAAAATCAGCGGAGCTTTTTAGATGTTGCTGAGAATATACTTTATTTGCATTTAGTACATTCTCAGAATATACTAAGCATATGTTACGTGACGTTGTTTATATGTGCTATGCAGATACTGTGAATGTACTTTAAGTATGTGTACAGTATGCAATAGGTATCTTTAATTTAATAGTATGTTCTAAGTATATGCTAAGTATTTAAATATAGCACATGCTAGGTAGGTAACATTAAACGTCGACCTAAAGTTGTCTCAAGTTCCAGTTGGTAAAGTTTCTCCGCCTTCTTTAAGTCTAATTGATCTTGTAATCGCTACGGCGCAATTATTTTGTCAAAATTTATGAAGAGTACTTGTTACTAAATATGATTGGAATGCATCGTCAGCCGGACGTTGTTTCAAGACACAGTTGACAAAGTTTCCGCGCAATCTGTGGTGGAGCTGTTGAGTCACCTGGATCTTGCAAGCGTAAAGGTACAATTCTTTTATGCCAGAATGGTCGAATATGAATGCCAAATGGCTTACCCTTTACTTTGAGACTTTAACAGGCATACTCATATGATTAAGTCTGTCAAATATCTGTAAAAAGTCTGTATACACATCAATTTGTAATTAAGTATTCATATTTACTTTTAGTTTGAGATTAAATTTTTTTTAACATTTCTTTAGATGTGGACGAATGCAGTACACCTGCCAACAACTGCAAGTTCATGTGCAAAAATCTGATTGGTTCCTTCATGTGCATTTGTCCAGAGGGCTACAGCCAAGTTGATTTGACAGACGATTGTGTGGACATTAATGAATGCGAGCATGGGGATCTATGCAGTAACGGTCGGTGTCACAACTTGCAAGGCAGCTATCGATGCGATTGCGATCAAGGATTTGAAACAAGTCCGGATGGAAAGAGATGCATTGGTAAGTTTTTTGATTTGACATATATTAATTATTATTATTATTTTCTTCTTTTTCGAATTTGTAGATAAGAGACAGGGAATGTGTTATCGACAATTGGTTAATGGACGGTGCAAAGCTCCTCATAACGAATTAAAACTATCGACAATGGCTGATTGCTGTTGTTCCATGGGAGAAGCTTGGGGACCTCAATGCGAACTCTGTCCATCCAGGTACACCCCACAGTATCAAGAACTTTGCTTAGATAGCGGGTTCTTGGTGGACGGAAAAGGTGCTTTATACTTTATTTGATTTGATCATAATTTAACCATCTGAAAAATTTCAGATGTTAACGAGTGCGAAACTATCCCAGACCTTTGCCGCAACGGGCAATGTATTAACACGTTAGGATCATACAGATGCATTTGCAATAAAGGATACAGACCCGACCCATCTGGTCTTTACTGCTTGGGTAAGTTTTTTTATTGCATCTCGTTATGAAAAACTGACTAATATTTTGACAGACATCAACGAATGTTACACCAACACGTCGCACTGTCAATTCAACTGTCAAAATACGGAAGGAAGTTACATCTGTTCTTGCCCGCCCGGATTTTTATTGAACCCCGATGGACTGACTTGTAGAGACTTAGACGAGTGCGCCACAGGTGAGCATATATGTCAGCAGAATTGCATAAACACCGACGGAAGCTACAAATGTTCCTGTGACGAGGGGTACAATCAAGTCGGCGACAACTGTCAAGGTAGGTTTGATTTTTGACTCCGTACTCGCCAGATTTACCATAATTTCCGTTTCAGATATAAATGAATGCGAAGAACCGGGAATCTGCCCAAAACCCGGCAGATGCGTCAACACTTTGGGTAGCTTCAAATGCATCTGTCCGAGACGATTCAAGCTCGACCAAAGCGGCACGTACTGCATCGACGTAGACGAGTGCGCCGACGACAGCAAGTGCCAAGAAGGTTGTCAAAACTATGTTGGCAGTTACAGATGTGGTTGTCCTCAAGGTTATATGATTCATCCTAATTTCAATCAATGCGTCGACGAAAATGAATGTCAGAAGAACCCGTGCGGTGGCGCTGGAAGTTGTTTTAATACGCCCGGTGGATTTAGATGCGGTTGTCCAGATGGCTATCAGTTTGATCCCACTCTTAATATATGCATACAGGTGAGTTGTGCACTTTTATTGAAATACTCGTACATTTAGATATTAAATTAGGTTAATGTTTAGGTTCTCGTAGAATGTGAAAAAATGTTATTTTGAAGGAGTAATTAAATGTTGAAATTGTATGTTAAATCAGGCGTACGTCACTGATGTCACATAAATGAACATAAGACACCTAACGTCATCGAGCCCGAGTCACAATTGGTGGATGAACATTTTTTCTTCTTTTCTTTTCTCATTTTTAAAGAAGTTTTTTTTAGAATGAAATTTGCTGCCATTGAACTTAATAATAACCTACAGCTTTTAGAACAGTTATTGTAGGATTTTTTTTGGGTATTCAAGACGTATTATAACAAAATAAATGTATAACTAGCACGTAAATTTATTGAATCGAAACGGCAACTAGTTTCTACTAATAAGCCATCATCCGGCTTACAAACAATATGAATGTATGCTGGTTGAAATTTCAATTTTATAAATTTATGTAGTATACATGAATTTGTCTATTTATTTTATTACTACATTGACCACATTTGTTACGCACCACCCTGTAGTAGCCTGCGGCTGTTATAGGAAACGTACGAATACAAAGAGACAGTGCAATGTCATCCATCGCTATACAGTGTTCTGCGGTCGTCATAAGTAAAAGTACGAGTAAAAGAAGAAGATAGATTAGTCCAGAAATATCTGGAAATGTCATTCTTTGTCAATTAAAATATATTTATTGTCCTCAAATTTCACACAAAAACAGCCACAACCATTTCGCTTAATTCATCTAGAGGATAACACAATCATGAACCTAAAATTCAAATTCAGGATTCTGTTGACACTAATTGACATTTATATTTATAAACTGTCCACTTCTACTGTCTGTCTACAAACGACATGTACCTTTAGTTAACATCTGAGATGCATAGATGACGGCATCGATACCGAGGTCGTTGCGTTTCCTATCGTTATGTCCCTAGTCTCTGCCCCTGGCCACTGGGTTTTTTAAAAGTTTTTATTTTACAAACATTAGCCATAAGATCCGTAACACGGGCTTCTTGGCAAATTAGCTTCACCTCAGATAAAGCTAGTGAAAAACTGAGCCTATACAGCTAAATTATGCTGCCCCGTAACTATGGAGTTTGGAGCCGTAACCGCTACGGTTTGTTGGAACAGTGTACTTCAACTAGATTGATTTGAACGCTTTCATTCAGCTGAGCATACAATACTGTCAAGTAAAATGGGGGTTAGGCTAATTTGTGTTATAATTAAAGTAATAAAATGTCATTATTTTCTTCTGAAAAGGATGAAATATTGATTAATATGGTAAAAGAGCATCCCGCACTTTATCAAGTAAAAAGCAGAAAGTTGCAAAGACAATATAGTTAAAATAATTTATTATTACAGTGAAACCTGAGTAAGCCGGAACCTGTGTAACACGGAATCCTGTGTATGACGGAAATTTTGGCGATTACCTACATATTGTAATGTAAAAATTGTTTATAAGCCGGAACCCTGTCTAACGCGAACACGGAATTTCCCTAATCTGTTAAGCCGGAACCTACTTATGTTATTGCTTTGCAGGTATAAAAGAATTTATAGATGTTTACATAATTAGTTTATGATTTCGGAAAGCCCCATAATAAGGGCGAACTATTATCAATACTTAAAACCATTATCACAGAAATTTAGGTACAAAAGCAGTAAATACACAAATAAACCAGTATTGTGTAGGTACGGCAGTTTGAGTTTATCCGTGAAAGTGCAAACATTTCAAAATGGCAAACCGAAAAACGAATACATTATCGCTAAAATCTAAAATGGACTTAATTAAATGTAGTGACCAAAAAAAACTTACTCCGAAGCAATTGGTTATTCAATTTAAGTGCGGAAAAACGCAAGTGTATGAAATTTTGAAAAACAAGGAAAAAATTAAAGAAGAGTGGATGCGTAGTGGTAATGGCGATATTAAGAGAAAGCCAAAGGAATCACATCACGACGATGTAAATTCAACAGTTTTGGAATGGTTTATGGATGCAAGGTCTCGCAATCTTCCTGTATCTGGAACAATTATTCAAGAAAAAGCAAGAGAAATTGCAAACCATTTTGGAAAAGTAGATTTTAAAGCTTCGAATGGATGGCTGGAAAGTTTTCGAACACGACATAACATAAGATTTAATCAGATCTGCGGTGAAGCTAAAGACGTCGACATGGAATCTGTGACTGAATGGACATCGCACATTACAGATTTAATTAAAGGATATACCCTAAAAGACATTGCTAATTGTGACGAAACTGGCCTTTTTTTATAGAGCGCTGCCAGACAAGACAATGTGCTTTAAAGGTGAAAAATGTCAAGGAGGCAAACAATCTAAAGAAAGGTTAACCGTTTTGTTTTGCGCCTTTGCTGACGGAAAAATAGAAAAACCTCTAGTTATTGGAAAATCCCTCAGACCGCGATGTTTTAACAATACCAATGTGCCTCAGCTACCAGTTTATTGGCGAGCAAATAAAAAAGCATGGATGACATCAGTTCTTATGGAACAGTGGCTAAAAATTTTAAATCAAAAAATGAAATTTGAAAATCGACACATCCTTCTATTTTTGGATAATGCAACGTGTCACCCCAAAATAATACTATCCAATATAAAATTGTGTTTTCTACCACCAAACACCACAAGTCAAACACAGCCTCTCGATCATGGAGTTATACAAAACTTCAAAATGCATTACAGAAAACAAGTGCTGCGGTCAATTATTGCGAATATGAGATTCTCTCAATCAGCAGGAGATTTGGCTAAAAAAATATCAGTTTTGGATGCTATCAGATGGATTGATTATTCAGTAAAAAATATTAAACCTGATTGTGTTAAAAAATGTTTTGCGGCATGTGGAATCAAGCAAGATGGAGACGTTGACCTAATCGAAAATGTTGACGAAATTGACGAAAGTACAAAAGAAGTCGAAGAGTTAATTACTGAAATTAATCCCGGTTGTAATGTTCATGATTACATCACATTAGATGAAGCTGTTACAACAAATGCTGGATTTCAGTCCATAGAAGAACTGGTGTTAGAAAAAACTGCCGTGGAAACTACTGTGGCAGACGATAATGATGGGATTGGAATTGGTAAGCGATTTTTCTAATTCTCTAAAAAAATAAACAACTTTTTATTTATTCTTTCCATCTTAATTGGTCATTTGGCCAAGTAGAAATAAAGTTAAAATACATAATAAAAATAAGATAGGAAGATTTCAGTTACCATCACAAAAATAACAGATAGAAAAAATTATTTTCCCATTAGCTTTTCAAAACGATCTGTTCTTAAATTATTTTTTTTATCTACAGGAACAGAAGTTGTATAATCCAATCGGATAAAAAATTTTTCTGAAGCTTTGAGGAGTGTTACAGCGTTAGAGGATTTTTCCCAAAGAATAGAGAGCAAACCGATGAGAAAGAAGATTTTAGAATTAAGGAAATTCATGGAATCATCTTACGTATTACAAAAGAATAAAAAACAACTTACATTGATAGAAATGTGGAATAAATAATAATTTATATTGTTTCTAATAATAAATAAAAATATGTAGGTACATAGTAATAATAACAACTATATATTAAATGTACGTATATTAGATTTTTTTTAATAATTTCATCACTTTTTTAAATCTACTATGTGCAATTTTTTATCTACCCTGTGTAACGCGGAATCCTGTATATGCCGGAAAATCGGTGCACGACCGTGCGATTCCGTTTTACACAGGTTTCACTGTACTTGTATTTTGCTGAATCTATCTAAAAACTAGCAATTCTTCTTCGTCTATTAAAATAATCGCTATTAACACGTTATTTAATTCATGGGAACTCATTTTCATCTGCATCTATCAACAAAACAAGTTGAACTAATTTATATTCTAACAAACCACTTCTACTAAAACTAACGAAAGTCGAACGCGACAGATTCTACCGAACACGTACGTCGGGCGTCGCGCACTGTTCTAAGAAACCGTAGCTTTAGACAGATTGCAGAAATTTACAGTTTAATTTAAAATAAAATCCTGCTTCTATTACTTGCTATGTAAACTGATAAATGGCTCAAATGACCTTGCAACGGCAATGTGTCTTCCGATGAAATTATCTATTATAGTGTATTTTGAGCGACAAATTTAAATGTATTAAGATACGATTATTATGCTAGTTCACATTAGAAAATAAATAGTTTATAATAACGTTTTTAAAAGTATTATTTACGCTATACATTCTTTTAGGTTAGTACCAGTTGTTCAGGCGCGCCTTGCGCCTTCGGGTGTAGCAGCCAAGGAGCTGGATACATGTGTGGATGTCCGCATGGATACCAACGTATCGGTCAAGGACATTGTTTGTCTACAATCACTCCCGCGTATCCTGGATACGGCCAGGAAATCGGCGACGTGCCCGTGTACCCTATCGATGATGATTCATCTTCAGCTAGTAAAGACAAATTGATCACTACCGAAGGTTGCTTTTCTTGCAGGGTAAGTTCAGATATATAACTGAGAGAACAACTTTGAAACTATCTTATTTTTTAGGTGAACGGAAGACACAGAAGAGCTTCCAAGCATTCCAAATCACAGAACGACACTGTAGCTGAATTATTCGAAAATACAGCGGTTAAAAGGCGGTTCAGAAGGCACAAACATGGGGAACATAACGAAGAGTTCGAAATAAAAATCAAGTTGTCGCAGACCAGACATAGAACGAGGCTTATCAAATTACAACCTGCTGTTAAGGTAAATTAAAGAATTTGAATAAAGTGCAGCCTAATGGCTTATTATGCCCTATTTTCATATTAGTTCAGAGTTTCTGCTTCTGTAGTTGAAATTGTTACTGCATATAAAATAATAACTCCAGAAGTGGATTTTCTGGTGCTAGTACAACTTGCAAACTCTAACTCAAACAATTTAAAATTCCTTTATTAAAATTTGTTTAATTGACAATTCTTAATTTGAAAGTCCCTACAATTTACCTTGTATGGTCTTGTACTAAGTAATTGGTACATTCCCTGTCTATATAGATATATATTCATTCTTTTCTCTTCTCTTAAGCTTTTTCTGATTTTAAATTTTCTGTTTTCTTGGTCATAGGTGTAGCAGAATAAACATTTAAAGTTGAATGCTACTATCCACAATCATAAATTGTATTCTTGAAACGGTGAACTGTATTTTAAGCGTTGTTTGTTTCGATTTAAAGTTGGATGGTTGAAATTCAAAAACTCGCCGGCTACACTACATACTTTATTGGTCGAAAATCACACAAAAATAAGAGTTTGTACATCACATAATTTATTCAGTAGACATCTGTTATTGTTGATTTTAGGAAAAAAACTAATCATATAGCCGTTTTATTTTATATTTTTAGTTAGGAGTTACTAAACGCCAACATGGCGGCGTAGCTTTTTAACGAAAGTCGTTTGAGAGAGCTGTTATTCGATGTAGTGAGAAAATATTTTTGTCTATAACGCAAACGAATCGAAAGTAGCTGGTGGCTTCGGTATCGCGTCATTTGTTAGTTTTAAGCAATCACCGATGAGCCAATACCCACGTTAGAGCTTTTATTGACGTTTGTATATTAGATCCATGATACAAAAAAAAGCAGAGGCATGACGTATTGTGGTGTGGAATATGAATATGTGATTGGCCACCACATTACGTCACCGTGACGTATGTATCATTCTGCGTTATATCCTATACCTTTTTTTATGATATCGTGCATTACAACTATTAGCGAGAAAGGGTGAGATTAAATCTAGAAATGCCAGATTCGGCGTTAGAAGTAAAAAATGGCAAAGAACGAAAATTGGTAAAGAACGGGAAATGGTAAAACGAATTACTGGCTTGTTATTTTCTTGTTATTTTTCACATTTTGTTACAAGCATGGAATCGCTTCACTTCCTCTAATTCCTAAATTTTGCAACAACCAAAACGTTTGTTTCAGCATCTTGGAGCCTTGCTTCAATATATATGATACATACTTTGTATCACTTTTTTTTCTTTTCTCCTGGGGTCGTCTGACTATGTCTCCGAATAACACTAAAGCCTATTGGCTTATTGAGTTTTACCCCATCTTAGTTCATAGCACCCATTCTGTCAACTTTGTACCTTATACAAGTTTGTACAGATCGTTGGGTGAGTGGGTTCTATACGTTGTTGGATCAACCTGGGTTTGTCCAAAAAGATTTATTGAGCGTATACATTCAATCTCAATAAAATCATCCCAATGCTTAGAGTTATTATTGCAAAACTATTCTGATTTCTCTCTAGAAGCCATAAATAGAGTTTATCAAACATTAGTTGGAGTATGCTTCTATAATTTGGTCGACACAATATCATATAGACTGTCTAGCAGTGGAAAGAATACAAAATAATTTTTTAAGATACTGTACCTTCAAATTAAATATTCAGTTAACCGATCACAGTTACACTAGGATTTTAAATGAAATTAATATGAGCCGACTTAAGTACAGGAGACATATCAGATTTGAATTTTATGTATAGATTATTAAATGGTCTAGTTATATGCCCGGAACTCAGAAATGATTTCTTTCAATATTCCTAATAGAGTCCTTAGACAATTAAATATGTTCCATTTCACAATACGAACTATTGAACGAACATTGAGGGTAATAAATCAATTGCATCTTGAGGTTACGGGCATTTCTTTAAATAAATTTAAGGCAATCTGTACGAACACACTGGAGTAAAAACCCACTAAACATGAAACATTACCAGTCTTTTTTGTAACATTTCTCATAGAGACTTTTCTTGATATATTTTTGAAACGATACTAAAATATCCCATAGATGTTTAAAGTTTAACATCATATTTATTAACATGTCTCGCATATATCTACGAATAAAGTTTTATGTATGCTGCAATACTTGAATTAGCAGTTACATAAACATCTTTTGTACTTCTTTTTAGTTACTTCCTGTGACAAACATTTATAAATCACAATAATATCGCATACAGGTCAGCACAGTAATGTGTACAAGTTACACATCTTTGGGATGGCTATCTTTAGTCTTTACATCGCGGACCTGGCAGACCTAACAGTTCGTCCCGCCTTCATAGATGGAGATACCAATGATCGCTTGCTACTTACGTAACCGGTAGTACTGTATATTATGGAGCAGTCTGTTGCCCAGTATTAAGTATTTCATCAAAGTTCTTACTTTTACCTTTGATATTAATTTAGGCCATTGTATTATCATACTTTTTCTGTAAAATTTTCTGAGATTAGAAATTTGAAGTTTAACTTGTCTTCTAAGCTTTTAACTTCAAGTTTATTTATTTTTATTCTGTTTTATATAGATAAAATATAAAATACTTATATAACATGGTCCATATAAAATTTATAAGACAAAGATAAAAATAAAAAGGTATGAATTGTTATCATATTTGGAACGTTACATTTGGTTCATTAATATGATTTTATTTTATGAGCTTTTATAATACCATCTACAATAAGTAAAAAGACTTTCTTGGATATAACAGGAATGTCACATCTGGTTTGTTAAAAAGACATCATTTTTGTGAACTTCCAACAACGTTGAATAACGTAACAAGGTACCGCTGTAATATCACCGCAACGTCTACATTTCATCACAAAAGTAAACGTCCCTACTCTGGGCTTAGACGGTTGTGAGTCCGGGCTACAGATGAAAACAAGAGTAAAAATGAGAGTTACAATGTAACAATGTGATGTAAAGTTCTCATTAATTTAACGTTTTTATGCATAGTGGGAATGACATATTACAGACAGATTTATACTACTTAAAATACATTTGTTAATTTAAAACTTATTTGACTTTATTTAATTATAATTTTAACTTTTTTCTTACTTGTATTTTTCAATTTACAATTATCTGTATCATTTATATATGTTCTGCTTTCTAATGGGGTTGATTTCGTTAAAATAAATAAACAAATTATTTTTAGGAGATCTAAGCAGCCCATCTATGACCAGATTTCAGAGGAGCCATCAACTAGGCTTCATAATTATTGTATTCAGTTCTCGGTGTCTTAAACAAGGTTTAAAATAATGAATGTACTTGTAGTAGAGATAATGAAATACTACCAAGAGGGCTTGTTTTAAACAGTAAAAATAATAATAGTAAACGAGTCTCAAACGCGCTAAACTTTTATTGCGTTATTCCTTTCGATGACGACGGTTGCAGCGATATTATTGATGCACAGCTAAGATCTGGCCTGATTACACAGTCAGGTATATGTAACACAGCAAAGTGATTTTTGTTAGAGCAGGTATAATTAATGGATATGCCGTCATACCACTGATCTGTATTATTTTACTGGATAGGGTATAGGCTATATTTAACATACTAAAAAACCGTTCCACCAAGGAGATCGGAAGTGCAACAATGCTGGCCGATTTGGGCAAATTATGTTGGGTTCACAGAACTGAAATTTGGGATAATTTGACATACTACCTAACCTATAATTTGATTAGTTTTTCTTCTTATTCTTCTTCTATTCCTTTTGCGGGCGATGTCTTTCGGGAAAATTCACTCATGATTTGATTTTTTATGAAAGAAAATATAAAAATGAAAACGTGAAGCATATTGTGTCTTCAGGAATGAACGTTTATTGTTTATTACATACTCTTTTTACTCTGTTTTCCACAATAAAAACATCTCATCGTAGCTTGTTGACACAATTAAATGACAAATGGAAGTTACGTTAAATAACATACGGTCCGCCATTTTATTTGCCCAATTCGGACAATTTTTCGGAACGTTTTTTAGGGGGCTATATCCTATCCAGTAAAATAATACAGATCAGTGCGTCATACACATCACGGCACATATTGAGGTGGTCGAAGAAATTGTATTCTTCTAATCCATGGTCGTTTTACTAGTTTTAGGTCCAGCAAGCGCATGACTGGGCCAAAATTTGAAATAAGCGATTTGAGACAAAATAATCGCGAATATTTTATAATAAGAAATTTTTTATTTATTCTGGAAAAGTGCTTGGCACAAGATATTGCAAAATTCTTTATTTGGATTTGTTTTTTTTTGTACAATTTTCTTACAACCTAATGACACTATCTTTCTCTCGAATATGTATATGTAACTGACTATAGAAGTATTTTGACTCCTGTTGAGGTGAGTTTTAAGACCGATAAAAAAAGAATATATTTTTTGATTGATTTTCAAAACTTCGAGATGAACTTTAGAGACATGATTTGTCAAATCACGTCTTGTGACGTAACTATTGGAAGACCTGTGTGAAAGTTGGCGTCACAATTATTGTTTTACTTATAATTCCTGGAATCAGGTGTAGGGGAGAGTGTTCCACAGAGAAACACTTTATTAATTTTTTTTTTCTCGAATCTACATACAAAACCAGAATCCCTCTTTTATCAAAAATTTTAATTTACTTTTATAATAAAATATCAAAATTAGATGCAAATGTGATTTTTTTTTTTTGTTTAAAAAAACTGTATTTTGTTTCACTGTGAAACACTAGTGGGGTACAATGAAACGGCAGAAACAAACAATTAAAAATAGGTTTTTATTTTTTACAAGCACAAAAATAAAAACACTGCAAATTAAAGTAAACTATTAACTGGGTGTAACTGTTAAATTGATGTTTCATTAACGAACTTTAATATTGGTGAAGCTAAGTTCAAATTAAATCAGATCAACTTGTCTTTTTGTTTTGCCACGCTAATTAGGCTTTGGTAAGATCATTTTGATATCGCTTTTAGGAAC